CCTAATTTTTTTTTTTTTTTTATGTAAAAACTGAAAACTAAAGATACGCAAACCTGATTTAGGGATCTGATGCTCTGATACCAAGATGATGAGAACCCCAAAGAGAACAATGAGACCCACAGCACCGTTGTTTATGTCGCAACAAGAACCAAAGGTAAAAACCTTGATGACGCAACAAGAACCAGAGGTATAAAGTTGGTTGATGCCACACCCTCGAACGATTAAGAACGAGAATGATAAGTTAGGTTAGAACGCTTGATAACTTCTGAAACAAACCAAAGAGAAAAGTCTCTCAAAAAATCTCAAATTCAGTAGCCTCCTCAATTAGGGTTACAAGCCCCTTTAAATAGGGAAAAGTAATTCTAATCAGAATAGGAAACTAACACCCTAAGCCCTAATCATAATAACCACGAATTGGGCCTTAAATAAATGAATGTTCGGCCCAAAATAATATAAAAAAACATGAAAATCACTAAAAGTAGCCTAAAGTAACATGAAATATTAGTTTGTTACAAATTCCGACAGAATTGCGAGATTGACGCAAACTGTGTAATTTAGCATAAATGACCTCAATTAAGCTTCTCTTGAACCTGAATGATGTTTATCATGCCTTGATAATCATCCAAGCTTTGATTTGCTTGTTGTATGTTGTTTTCAACCCAGATCTGCTCAATAAGGCCATTTAAAGCTTCACACATCTTCTTAGCTCTAGCTCGCGTGACTGGACCTCCTTGGGTGTGTAATGGATCACATGACGTGGTAGATATGCTGTCGTCTTGATTCCCATCACTTACTATGTAGGTAAATTCTATAGGTATGTAGCATTTGTTTCGCTCCGCAGTTTGCGGTGTAATAGGAAAGCCAACTAGGTGGTGTGGGTGGATTTGCTCTCTCCTTTTGGGTGGATTGTGATCATTGGGTTAAGGTTAGGTTTACTTTCTCCTTCATTTGTCCTATTCTTTTAAACTAGATTCATCATTTGGAAAAGTTTTAAAGGAAGATGCAACAGTCAAGACATTAAGGGAGGTTGTGAGACATAACGGCTCACCATGATTTATGCTGAGTGATGGAAGAGAGAGTTAGTGACTTTCTTGTAAAAAGTCCTAACTTCATGGAATAGCAGAAAATTTTATGAATTTTGTAACCAAAGATTGAAATTGTGCAGAAAACTTGAAATGGCACCATAGGGATCACACTGCTTTCATATTGGTCTATGCTAATTTCAGATTCAAAGTCTAACAAAGAGGTTGCTCAAATGAGCTCTTGATTTCATGCTTGGATGGTGAGTCTCACATAAAATTTTTCATTATTTTTTCTGTCTTAGGTTTCTAAGAACTCTTTTTTTGTTTTTTTGGGTGTTCTAAATAAAAGGTTTTTGCTGTCTTTATAGTTACACCTTTTTAGGGTTTTTTTTTTTTTTTTAGTGAAAGTTTGTTATTTGGTGAGGATAATTGGTGAGTACAAGTCAATTTACAACTAAAGTTATTTAATGTATATTTGGATGACCAAAGTTTAATTGCTATACTTAGATTAAAATTATAAGTCAATTTTAATGAAAGCTACCGTCCTATAAGATGTTCTGAGGGTAATAAAAGGATGCCAATCTTGCATCATATGGCTGCTTTGCTCTTTCTAAATTTTTATCAACATTGTCTATCAATATTTTTCAAGGTTTTAATTATTATATACCTTCAAATCAATTCATGGCAATCCAACCATCTTTTCCTTAGCATACATATATGATGATGAGAACCCCAAAAAGAACAATGAGACCCATAGCACGACAAAGGATTTCTAAACTCCAGAAAAGCCAAATCAGGTTTATAATAGGACCTTGACTTGTTGTTTATGTCGCAACAAGAACCAAAGGTAAAAACCTTGACCCGTTGTCTATGATGCAACAAGAACCAGAGCATTGGTTGGTTGACGCCACACCCTCAAACATTTAAGAATTAGAATGATTAGATAGGTTAGAACGCCAAAAGAATAATCTTGATAAGATCTGTAAAGTTCTGAAATGAACCAAAGAGAAAAGTCTCTCAAAAACTCAAATTCAATAGCTCCCCCCAATTAGGGTTACAAGCCCTTTAAATAGGAAAAAGTAATTCTAATCAGAATAGGAAACTAACACCCTAAGCCCTAATCCTAATAATCACGAATTGCGCCTAAAATAAATGAATGTTCAGCCCAAAATAATACAAAAAACATGAAAATCATTGAAAGTAACCTAAAGCAACATGAAATATTAGTTTGTTACAATATGCGACAGATTTGCGGGATTTTGACACAAACTGTGTAATTTAGCATAAATGATCTCAATTAAGCTTCTCTTGAACCTGAATGATGTTTACCATGCCTTGATAATCATCCAAGCTTCGATTTACTTGTTGCATGTTGTTATCAACCCAGATCTGCTCAATAAGGCCATTTAAAGCTTTTCGCATCTTCCTAACTCTAGCTCTTGTGATTGGACCTCCTAGAATGCGTGATTTGACCTCCTGGAATGTGTGATTTGACCTCCTAGAATGTGTAATGGATCTCTTGACGTGGTACAGGTGGGGTCATCTTGATTCCCATCATTCCCTCTCTCCTCAAAAGGATTTGTCCTCAAATTGTCATCTACATCAAAAGGAGAAAGATCAGAAACATTAAAATTAGCACTAACATCATACTCACCAGGAAGCTCCAACTTGTATGCATTGTAATTTATCCTTGCAATCACTTGAAATGGTTGATTGCCTCTTGGTTGCAACTTAGAACGCCTTTGTGCTGGGAATCGCTCCTTCCACATATGCACCCAAACCCAATATCCAGGTTCAAACACAACTTTCTTGCGCCCTTTGTTGGCTTGATTTGCATATTGCTCAATTCGTCGTTCTATGTTTTGTCGCACCCTCTCATGTAGCTGCTTAACCACTTCAGCTTTCTTTTTCCCATCCAAACTAGCTCATTCATCAATGGGTAATGGCAATAAATCCAAAGGGGTGAGTGGATTAAAACCATACACAACTTCAAATGGTGAACAGTTAGTTGTTGAATGGACACTCCGATTATAAGCAAATTCAACATGCGGCAAACATTCTTCCCAATTCTTCAATTTTTTTGAATAATAGAATGCAATAAGGCTGACAAACGTCCTATTAACTACTTCTGTTTGTCCATCAGTTTGCGGATGACAAGTAGAAGCTTAGTTCCCAACTTTCCTGATGGGAATCAAGACGACAGCATATCTACTATGTCATGTGATCCATTACACACCCAAGGAGGTCCAGTCACGCGAGCTAGAGCTAAGAAGATGCGTGAAGCTTTAAATGGCCTTATTGAGTAGATCTGGGTTGAAAACAACATACAACAAGCAAATCGAAGCTTGGATGATTATCAAGGCATGGTAAACATCATTCAGGTTCAAGAGAAGCTTA